TTCAGTGATGCCTGGGGAAGCCTGGGGCTGGGAATAGGGGAAGGCTCCCACACAAATTAGTCAGACAAAAGAAAACTGGACAGGGAAGACAAGCATTCCAGATGGCTGGAACAGCGTGTGTAAAGGCCCTGAGGCAAACATGAGCAGGGCTAGGACACTGGGACCAACAGTGGTCAGAACACTCAGGGCTTCATGTCACCCAGAAAGTCAGGGGACACTAGGGTCCAGCCAACGCTGAACACTGGCACACATGCATATGTTCAGCATCTGGGCTGGACACCCTGACAGGGCTCCCACCTTGGCTGCTCCTGGGAACAAAGACTCTACACTGCCCAGTAAAGCCCCAGCCAAACCAAGTATACAAAGCTTGCTTCCTTCTGCTGGCTCCTTCCAGCCTAAGAAGGGAGAACAGCTGCCTGAAGCATAGAGAAAGCCAGTCTGAGGCTTGGGGGTTAGTATCTTATAATAGGACAAACAGAGGGAGCTATGGGAGGGGTCAGCCTTCCCTAGGGGCTCCCCACCCCCAGATCCCAGCCCATCTGGACCAGAACTAGTGCCAGGAGCATCCTGAATCTTGCTGTCTCCATAGAAACCACAGCTTCAGCCACCCACCCACCCACCCACCCCCTCAGCTCTGTGAGGGTTGAGAGCTGTCCCTTGACCTTCAGGGGAAGAGAAGAAGCCCAACTCAGCTGGTGTCCCATCTAGACTCAGTTCCCACAGAGATCCACACACTCCTCTGCATTCACACCTGAGGCACATGAACATAACGCTGCTCCAGTACCCACGGCAGTCTTGTGGACTGCACACCCACATGGACGCTCACACACGATCTGAAGCATTCACACCAGCTCTGTGGCACCCAAGATGGACAAGCTGGTATGTACACACGTGTGTACACGCGCGCGCGCGCGCACGCACACACACACACACACACACACACACACACACACACACATTCCCACTTGAACATTTATTTGTATGAATACAACACACTCAGACACCCGCAGCACCCAGAGGCCCGGAACAGCCAAACCAACGAAGCGTGAGATGCCCGCCCCACCTCCCCCTAACAGGCCACTGGGGCGGCACAGCCTGATGGTGGCTGTGTCAGCCCCAGGAAGCCAGAGACATCATGGGTCCCCAGAAAGAAGATATTGACCAGTTGACAATGGCCACAGTGGTTTACCCAAGAGACCAGGGCATAAGTAGCCTGAAAGACAACCCTAACTCCATGAGGGGCTGCTCTCTCTACTCCTTTGGGAAATACTGGGTCCCCTCCCCTCCTTTCCCCTCCCCTCCCCATGCTGACTACGCACCTAGCCACCACCTCGTCATCCACTTTCACCAGGCAATAGGGGTCACTGCTTCCAGACCTGTGGGAAGAGGGGGTCGAGGAGGCTATTGCAAGGGGAAGCCATGTGGGAGCCCAAATCCCCACCTTAGGCAGGGTGAAGCTGAAGCCCAGAGAAGGGTAGGGGACTTACCCTGGGTCACACAGCAACTCCTACAAAAAGGCAAGACCTTGGAGAACATCAGCAGGTTATATCACCGCTGCCCAGGCCAGTCGCCTACCACCCACAGGCAGTATAAGCCTGTATTACCATCCTGTTCTACAACCTCAGTTATGTCACTGTGACTCCAACAGATGTTAACACACACACACACACACACACACACACACACACACACACACACACGGCATAAGGGGTTAAAAGAAAGGTTTGGAGGAGGGATCATGGTTACCCTGAGCTTCCAGACACAGACAAGACCCTAATACCAACTTCTGAGACAAACACTATGTCCCCAGTCTTTCCCTTACCCCCATCTCAGCAGGAAAGACTTGCAGGCATACACCAGGGTCCAGGACCTCAAAACTGAACCCATAGAAGATGGCTGTAGGGCTGGAGTATGGCTCAGTGGTAGTGTTTGCCTAGTGTGTTCAAACCCTGGGTCCTATCTCCAGCAGGAAAAACCAAACAAAGTCAAATCCCAGAAGACATGTGTTATTTCCCCATCACAAAGCCCTGAGCCCTAGGCCAATCAAAGTGGGTCCTACCCACCTACCCCCTTGTAATAGCAGTCACCAGTAAACCCCAGGCTTCCTACCTGGGTCTCCATTGCCTCACTCCCAAAGCCATCTCCTTGGAGAGGTTGTCTCTCACAGCCACTGTCTAAAAGGAACCTCCAAGCCATTTGGGATGGGCCACACCCACAGTCCCAACTCCCTGGAGACTGAGGCAGGAAGTTTGCCTGAACCCAGGAGTTCAAGGTCAGCCTGGGCAACATAGTGAGAGCAAGGCTCCTATAAATAAAAATTAAATGCTGCCTTCCTGGACCTAAACCATCTTGCACACAGTTTATCTGTGTATTTGTGTCTACCTCTACCTTCCTATAGCCTCTGAACTTCTACCTGCATGGGAGTGCTGGCTGCACCTACTTCTCCATGGGGCTGGGGCTGGGGCTGGTCCTGCAGGGAAGGTTCAGGAGAATGGATATGTGGAGTGCAGGCTCTGGAGGAAGGTGAGATAGATGGTACAAATGTGATTTCACCCCGGGTCTCCTAGCCATGTCCCCTCTGCTCCTCCCAGCCACCCACCTGCTCAACCACAGGGAACAGGAATACTGGCTGAAAATCTGGGCCTTTGGCTGGCTGTACTTCCCTCTCCCTCAGTTTCTCTCTAAGGCTTCTCTACCTCATTCTTCAGCTTCCCCAGTGCAGATGTGGCCCAGACTGCCTGGGATCAGTTGGCATGGAGGCTTGGAGATACAGCCTCTCCCAAGCAACCTGACTGACCCTAGGTCCCTCAAGGGAGTAGGGTTCAACACATCTACTCCAGGGCCATGACGCACATGGCCTTATCAGGCTCCTATCAGGCAGGGGTCAGGGTGGCAGGCAGGGCTGGCCTCTCCCAGGCGCTGGTCTCTCCAGACTCTCAGCCTCTCCCATGCCCCTGTCTGAGTGAAGCATGGGAAAATGTGACCCTCAGGCATCACTTCCCTAGACAGTTCATACATTGAAGCTGTTGGTGCTTACGTCCTAGCTTTGGGACTTTACAGTCACGACTGCCTCTCTGGTCCTCTGTTTCTCCATTTGTAAAACAGAGAAACCAGTTGTAGACCACACAAAGTGTTAAACATGATACCTGTCCATGGTAAGCCCTCAGTGATGACTGGCACCACCTTAACCTTGAGTGTCAGGCTGAATCTAAGCCTTCTGCCTTCGAAGGCGAAATGAGAAGACACCCCAGCTAACACCCCACTCCCAGACAAGGAAACCCCGGCTTGCGTTGAGAAGATCCAGCAGGACACAGTGACACCTCTTCAACCTTGCTCTGTGGCACAGCCCACTCCAGCCAGAGCTTACCTTGGCCAGAAAACTGGAGGGAGAGGGGTAAGAAGATGAAGAATATAAAGAAGCCTCAAGCCCTTCCAGAAGAAGCAGGGAACCCTTGAGCCTGTATCCAAGCCAGTGACAACATCTGCCAGTGGCTCACAACTGTCTCCCAAGACTGGTGGACCAGCTGGAGTTCAATGAGGCAAGAGTCCTATTTATGGGCAGGTCCCTTCAGCCAGCCAGCAAGTGCCAGGTCTCCACTCCTGCCCCACAGTTCTGTAATCTCTCAGGTTCGGAGACATCTTGAAGAGAGGATAGCTCACACTGGTGCTGTCGCTCCCTGCATTTACTTCAGGTGTGTGCTTATTTATGGTAGCTGATGAGGAAGATGGGATTACTCTAGACAGCTCCCCTCTTGGTACAGCTGTAGTGTTGGGGGACAAGGAGATTCCCAAAATCAGAGGGTGGTGTTGCAGAATCTGCAGCTTGGGTAGGCAGGACCTCCATCCAAGCAAAGAAGGTCTCCAGTTCCCCTGTCTTCTTACCTTTCCACAGCTGAACCCCTAGCCAGTGTCCTCCACCAGCCCAGCTGGTCACCGGATCAAACAACAGCTCCTTCCAGTTCTACACTCTACCCAGATGGGACACCAAGGGCCAGCAAAAGGCAGGTTCAAGGTCACTCAGCACACCTCCCAAGGATCGCAGCACCTGTCTCAGGTGCTGATATCTTAACCCCCCCTCCGCTGCCCCCCCTCCGCCGGCTCCAGACCAAGCAGGAGGGGGAAACCCTCTCCTCCACCTACCCCGTTCTGCTGAGTCAGCATTTGCTGACTCAGCCCTGGAGAAGCAGAGCCAAGGACAGGGGCAAAGAAACCCAGTTCCCCCAGCCCCATCACATGAGGCACACGCGAGTGAGTGTCTTTTATAGCAATTGGGGACCCGAGACAGCCCACCATAGGTTTGCAGGTACAAGACTGGAGGACTCGGGTTTCCGGATTACAGAGCACCTGGTGAAGCTCTGCAAACCTAAACACCTCCGAGGTACTCAAATTCTTGGGGGTCCACCTGGACCCCAGTCTTCTGGGGCTCTACCCGTGATCCCTGGATAGCCCCGCTCTGGCTCCATCGTCTGGAGAAGCCCCACCTCCAACACCTGCTCTACCTAAGGAAGGGACCATCGGTCCCTTCCTTGGCTCTAAAAGGACCGGTCCAGAGATCCCTTCTCCTGCCCTAGAAGACGTGCTTGGGAACATCCTAGAACAAAGATACCCTCTCCTTCCCCGATGGGGAGCAGGGAGCGGCACCTGCTAAGCCTGGGTGCCCCCCTCACGGGACAGAGAGGGCGGATCCCCAACTGTGGGTCCTAGACAGAGGCCCCCACAACCCTTCCACGCACCCCAGTGGGCACCCAGGGACTCACACATCCTTGGCGGGCAGCGCCCGTCCCTCCACCACGCGGATACTCAGCGAGCCGCTCTTGGCCATGGCGCACAGTCCCAAACTTTCCAAGCAAGGAATCTGCCGAGGTTCCAACGCTGGACCAGGTGACCCTACATGTCACCAGCTTCGGGCCCGGGGCGCTCTCCACAGGCTCACACAGATCCGAGTACGGGGTGTGATTGGGCAGGACGCGAGGCTGGGAGGGAGAAGTACTGGATCCCAAGAAGGGGACATGCGTCCTGTCGTGAGCCACAGGTAGCCGTGTGCGCTCCCTCCGGGCAGACTGAGCCCTGCGTCTGCAGCTCGAGAGGTCCCTCCCGATCCCGCCCTCCACCTCGCAGCTGCCCCGCCCGCCCTGAACCCCACTCGAGCTCCCCCTGCTGGCACCCCAGTCTGCTGCACCCAGCCGGGGACCCCAGGAGCTTTGGGTCAGGGGGTTGGGTGCCACGCGCAATCGGGCCGGGCAGCGGGCCACTACTGAGCTGACATTGGTCCTTCCAAGAACCCGGGTATCTTCACACCTGCCCCAACCCAGCACCTCCACTCCTCTCCCACCTCCGCCCCTGCTATCCAATTCCAGCCTTGGGGTCCGGAACAGTACTCGCGCTGGGCGGCAGGCGGCGCACACTCCCTGGGGGTCTGATGGGAGGGGAGGGAGGGGCCTCGAACATCCCCCCTTGCATCGTCTCCAATTAAACACGGAGTGTGCCAGCCGAGGTTCCCACGTCACAGGCTGCCACTGCGGGGGAGGAAGCCTCGGCCGCAGGGGGAGGGGAGGCGCGGAGATAACACTGCCAGGGCGACACGATAAGAGCCATCTGCAATCCTCGAACACTTAACTGTGTGCCAGGCACGGCCTGAGCCTTTCATGCGGATTATCTCAGTTCCGAGACCTCAGCAGCCCTGTATGCCATATATGCCCTCCATCTGTGGATTAAAAACAAAAACAAAACAAACGAACAAACAAAAAATGGGGTTCTGAGAGGTGGGGTCACTTGCCAGAACTCTCCTTCCTGGGTTTGAATTCTGACTCTGCCATTGCTAGATTTGATAGCTGTGTGGTCTTAGATGAGTCACTCAACCTCTCTGTGCCTTGGTTTGGTTTTCTCATCTGTTTAATGAGGGTGACACGTGTCTCATTCATAGGGTTGAGAGAGGATTAAGTAAGATACTCCTTATACTGGCCTCAGAACAGTGGTAGGCACCTAATCAGCCACATAAAGTATACGATATTATTATTGTTGTTCTTCCAGGTGTGGCTTAAATGTCACATCTCCTGGCATGGCTTTCAGGATGCCTTTCCACCCCAAGCAATGCTTTTTCCTCTTTGCTCTGTTCCCGAAATGCTTTATGCGTTTGCAAGTTTTAAATGGGATCGTGTGAACAGGAGGCTTGTCCAGGGTAGACACCGGCACAGCTTCCTTCCTCCTGGAGTCTGTGGCTTACCTAACTGGAGAGTGTTTAGAAAGGCTGACAAGGGACTTGTGCAGCAGGCCATCTTGGGGCTGGGCACTCATGGGAGTGCAGAATGAGGTCACCTGCCACTGCCCAGACTGGCAAGACTGGGAGCACCTGCCCAGCCCTGAGAGCAGGAGCAGCCTAGTGGTCTGAATCCCTTCCCTCTCCCACTCCACAGCCAGCACCCATCCCAGATGGAAGTGGGTGGGTGCCCTGAGATTCTCTCCCAGTGGGTTGTTGGGGACAGCAAAGCAGCCAGACCCTCAGAGAGATACCAGTGGTGACCCAGGTCTGAGTCCAGAACTGTAGCATTATCCCTGCTCCAGCCACAGCCGACCACCATCTGCAGTGATCACTCCAGTCTCTCTAGGGAGGAAGAAAACTTGTACCCATATGTGGCTCCCCTGAATGCCCCCACCACACACACACACACACACACCTGGGCAGACAGACACCTTTGCCTGGAATACTTTGCCCCTGGGGTTATAGAGACCCCAGACAAGTAATCCCGGTCCTCAGGAACCCTCATGGAGTCCTGGATTCTCCCATAATGGCCAAACAGTCACACAGTCACCATTAATCCGTATTCCGAAGCTAAACAGGAAGCCCCACTTCAGGTCCCCAGAGGGAGCTTTCAGGTCCAGCTAGGCCTCCAAGGAGCCAGCTCTGTCACCCACTCCCTTGACACCAGGTTGTCTAAGACAGGGTCCACACTCTCTAAATTTTCTATATGACCCTCCCCTAGCTACCTCCTATTCTAAGAAACTAAACTAAAACCAGCCGGAGGCTGAGATCCTGATCAGACAACTCCTATCCAGCTACCAAAGGGGAAAAGACAACCAAGGAAGGTGTGTGATCTGCTGGGAGCCCCCAGCCAGGACAGGGAAAAGAAGCCCTGGAAGCCATCAGATAAGCATGAGACCCAATCATGTACCCCAACATGGGCAGAGTGAGGGCAGCTGTTCCAGATGTTCCACATGTTCCAAGCACACAGTAGGTGCTCATGGTATGCCCCACATTCTCCTCAAAGGCAAACATACAGTCCTTCATCAGCTCTCTGCATCCTCTAGCATCCATGGCTGTGAACAGCAGACAACAGACATGGAGAGACTTAAGTGAAGCCCAGGCATGATGGTGCATACCTGCAATCCTACCACAGGAGGCTGAGGCAAGAGGATCATAAAGTTCAAGTTAGCCCGGGTTACAAAGACAAACTTCATCTTAAAAAAATCAGGGTCTGTGGCTGTCACCCAGTTGGTAGAGTGCTTGCCTAATATGTACATAAAGCCCTGAGTTCCTTTCCCAGCACACAGTGGCACACAGCTATAACACCAGCTCTTGGAGGACAGAGATTAGAAGTTTAAATCATCTTTGGCTGCTTGGTGAATTCAAGGGAAGCCTGAGCTATACCCCTAAATACAGTCTTATCGGACAGTGGTGGCACACATCTTTAATTCCAGCACTCGGGAGGCAGAGACAAGCAGATCTCTGTGAGTTCGAGGCCAGCTTGCTCTACAATGTGAGTTCCAGGACATGCAGGGCTACACTGAGAAGCTCTGTTTCAAAACACCAAAAAAGAAAAAAGAAAATTTCTATAAATAAAGTCTTGGGTGGGGAAGGTGCTGACTCAAGGTTTAGTGAAAGGGTCTTGTTATTGAATCCCAGAACTGGGTGCTTTCAGACAGGTGTCTCTGTTTCTTCCTATGTGAATCTGAGCTGTTAACAGCACCCATCTCATTGGATGCTTGAGGGTGTAGAGAAGTGCAGGTTTCAGCACACCTGGTATACAGCAAGTGCCCACTAGGTGTTATGGTCATGTAGAATCCCAGAGACTTCAGCACACCTGGTATGCAGCAAGTGCCCACTAGGTGTGATGGTCCTTTTGTAGAATCCCAGCTCATTCCAGAGCCTGGAAGCCACACACACTCTCTTGGCTTAACACAGAGGCAGGTCCTGGGGATTGTCCAGGTAGAGTGCCAGGCCCAGCCCAGAATTCCAGGGATCAAGGGAGTGCCGCATTCCAGCTAGCATGAGGAAGTATCCGTTCTGGATTGTAGATCTGGGGGAATCCGGGTTTTGTTTTTTGTACTTTTTAATCTAGGTAGAGAGAGCCCAAGATGAGAGTTCTGCCTGCCCCTGAGGGCTCACTGCTCAGATCTGGCTGATACCCCCACCCCATTCTGGTGTGTGACATGCTCGCAGGGGCCCAGGGGAATTCTCAGACTCTGAACTGAGCATCCCTACCCTAACATCACTATAGGGGTCTGGGTAGGCAGAGCAGTACCACAGAGGGCTTCCCTGATCATGACATCTGATTGAACCACCTTTGGAACCCCACCTTCCCAATCTCAAACCATGAAGGGAAAACTTAATCCACAGAAATTGGCAACTGATACATTGGGCTTGGATTTGGTTTAGAGACCGACTCTCACTACAGGGGCCAGGCTGGTCTTGAACTAACAATCCTCTTGCCTCAACCACACCAGTGTTGGAATCCTAGAGATTCTATCCGCTTATGATGGCAAGTCCCGTCACCAAACCATCACTGGGTTTGGGGCTACTGAATTCACCCTAAAGGCTTTTTCTAAGTTGGGTGTTGGGGTACGTGTCTATAACCCCAGAACGTAGAAGATGAAGGCTGTATAGTTCAAGGATAACCTCAGCTATGTAGCAACTTCCAGGCCAGCCTGGGCTACAGGCAATGTTGTGAGCAAAGCAGAATAAACAAGACTTTCTCCTCCATCCCAGTTTTGCCTTTGCCATTAAGTCCTACCCACCCACAGGGTACTTACTCCCCCTGCCCCCATTCAGCCTCCTATGTCCTTCAGCTTCAGCTACTTACAGTACAATTGAGTAAAGCTTGTGAAGGGTGGGGCCAAAGACAGCTCATTGACCAGACCAATGGAACAATATATGGCTATTAAAAAGAAGTTTCCCGACTGGAAGCTGCTCAGCAGGAAAGGGTGTGCTATACCAGCATGAGTTTGAATCCCCCCCCCCCACACACACACCAATGTAAAAAGCCAGCCATGGTTAAGCATGCCTGGAACACCTCTGCTGGGAGGAATGTGTGGGGGAGATAGCTGTGTCCTGAGGACTCACTGGCCAGCCCAGTCTAACTGACTCAGAGAACTCTGGGCTCAATGAGAGAGCCTGTCTCAAATAAATAAATAAATAAATAAATAAATAAATAAATAAATAAGAGGAGAAAAATACAGGAAGACACCCAATGCTCGTACAGGTGAGTGCACACGCCCTCAGGCTCGAGCACACACACACACACACACACACACACACACACACACACATTTTCTTTTTTTTATTTATAGAGGTCTCACACAAGACTTTTTAGCAGGAAAAGTATAGGTTTAAGGCCAGCCTGGCAGCCAGAACTATGTAGAAAACCTTTTTAAAAAAAAAAAAAAAAAAAAAAAAGGTCAGGCAGTGGTGGAACACTCCTAACACTCCTTTAATCCCAGCACTAAGGAGGCAAAGGCAGGAGGATCTCTGTGAATCTGAGGTCAGCCTGGTCTATAGAGCAAGTTCCAAGACAGGCTCCAAAACTACAAAACCCTGTCTCAAAAAAC